AGACATATAAGCTGCAGAAGGTCCTTTGGCTACACAGAAGCAAAGTCTTGAGTGTGTTGGCCTTTGGTGTGGTAAGAATGGCTTTCCTCTGGGTAGAATGTCTTCTATGATATACACACCAAACGTGCATCCCCACACTGGGGATCAAGCCTGCATCCTGGGTATGTGCCCTGACCGGAAATTGAACCATGATCTCCTAGTTTATAGATCGATGCTCAACTACTAAGCCATGCCAGCCGGGCCTGAAATTTTTTTAGTGTTGTTTACAGCTCCTGAGGTAGCTGTGTGGCTAAGAACTGAACTTCTACCTGTCAGAACTGCTTGGTCTTCTGCCAGAGATTTTGTATTTGGTTCAGCAGAGGCCTTGTAGCTACATAGCAGCCACTGCCTGGAACCCAAGCCTTGTTACTGCACAGATTTCTTTCACCAAGTTGCCTATATGTTCCCAACAACTCTACCAGGCAGCTAACTGGAAGCAAGATGTGTTCGAGAAGGAGGTTTCTTATTAGAAAAAACACATGAAAGTGGGGGAATGTGTGCAAAATCTTGGACAGCCAGAGATCTGTTGGCGTAGAGTGTCCTCTAGCAAATGTCATGCCTTCTATTCTGTGGAACCATTTTTGTCTTCAATCTAAACTGGAAAATCACATTTTAAGAATTATTTGGAAAAAATACACATGGGCTGGTAGGTTTATTAATTGTAATAAAGGTACTACTTCGATGAAGGGTATTGTTAATGGGGGGTCAGGCATATATGGGAAATCTCTGTACTTTCCTTTCAGTTTTGTGTGAACCTAAAACTGCTCTAAGGAAAATAAAATCAATTTAAAAATGAACTAGAGTTAGGTAGACTTGCAAGTAGCTTTACCACTTTCAAGTTAGTTAATTGATTTTTTACTTGACAGTGTAATTTTTTAAATCCAAATTTTCCTATAAATATTTTAATTAGTTGAGCAGCTACTATGTGCTGGGCAGTCAATCCTTCATCTCCACACTCCCCTGACATATTATTACCACTCTACAAATACGCTAGTAGATGCAAAGAAGTTAAAGGACTTGACAAAGGTCATCCATCCAGTAAGAGGCAGAATTCCGATGTTGAAGTCAGTGTAACACAGAGGTTAAGGATATACATTCTCTCTAAGGCCACTGCTTTACCCCAGGGTAGCAATTATAGAAGTTGTGAATGGAAGATGTTCAATGCGTGTGAAGCTCTTAGAATACAGGTACTAGTATTAACCCAAGGACCCTCATGTGTATATTTTTTCCCATAATTTTCTTCTCTCACGTGAGACTGATATAAGACTGGCCTTGACCTAGGCAGTTTGGCTCAGTGGGTAGAGCATTGGGTTCAATTCTGGTCAAGGACACATGCCTGACTTATAGGCTACATCCCTAGTAGGAGGTGTGCAGGAGGCAGTGGATCAATGATTCTCTCATCATTGATGTTTCTCTCTCTCTCCCCCTCTCCCTTCCTCTGAAATCATATATATATATATATATATATATATATATATATATATATATATATATATATATTTTTTTTTTTTTTTTTTTTTTCCCCCCTTAAAAAAAAAAAAAAAAAAAGACTGGGCTGTGCTTGACATTTAGTAATTTTTTTTTCTTTTCTTTAATCCTCATCTGAGGACATGTCTGTTTTTAATGAGAAAGTGAGAGAGACATGGATGTGAGAGAGAAACATCATTGATCTGTTGCCTCCCATATGCGCTCCATCCCAGCAACTTGAGGTCAGCCTAGGTCCTCCCTGGGTTTCTACCTTGAGGACCCGATTTTTTTTGGGCAGAAATTCTGGAAAGCAGAGTTTAATTAAGGAAAATGGTGGAGTGTCTGATCTCATCATTGGGCCTTTGAACCATCAGCAGGGCAGGAGAACGCTGATAAATTTCTGAATTTCTGTTTCAAGTTTTAACTATGGGGTAGACAGGCATTGCTGCCAGGCAAATGGGTTACTCCCAGTGGACTGATAGAGAGGGAAATGTGCTTGGTGATGAACAGATGGTTTTATCAAGTCCATTTTGGATGCTGTTTTTTAGAGTGCAGAATGCCTCACCCCTTAGCAATGACAGTGAGGTATTGCAGGGGATGGACACAGCAGGAATGGGGCATGTCACTGATCATCAGTGTGTGCTGAGCTCCCTGCTGGGCACTTCACATCCTCTAATGTAGTGGATGCTCACATTGACCCTGAGGTATTCTTGTTAGTGTTGTTGTTGTTCTGTTACATCTACTGTGCCAGGCAATTATGACTGTTGTTCCTCTTAGTATCAGCCTCACCTCCCAGCAAGGAAACAGGCTTAGGGAGTGGAATAAGTGGTCCATGTTCCTGTAGCTGGGATGATTTCGAAGCCTGAGGTCTGCCCACCAAGGATGCCGGGCCACCTGATGTACTGGGCAGTGCCAGGCATCCTGGGTATGAGTCCTGGCCACGGGGCAGCGCAGACAGCAAGAAGCTGGGGAGAAAAACTAGCCTGAGACAAAATAGTGCCTTTCAGCTCTCCCTCCTTTCTGCTGAGCCCTGACGCCTGCCTTCCCAAAGGCTGTTGGAGAAATGTCAGGCAGAGGAGCCGGGGCGGGTCTCAGATGATCGAGGGTCCGAGTTTCAATCTCAGTGCCACCAGTTTGTGGCTGAATGTACTTGGGCAGCTTACATGGACCAGGGAGGTAGGGAAGAGCAAGTGGGAAAATGTACAGTACGTACTTAGAGCGGTGCTTAGTATATGGTAAGCACTCAATAAATGTTAACTTATTCTTTATCCATCTATGTAGCAATGTGGAATAAAATACGCCAGTGCATCCAGGTTCCCAAATAGGGTTTGTTTCCGCAGCTGCCTCTTCCCCATCTAAATCCACTGAGGTTTCTAGAAGCTCTGACAGCCTCCAGGGCTCCCAGGCTTTGTACCAGGTCTCTGGTATGGAGTGAGGCTACCTGTTAGGTGCTCGTTTGGAGATCTCCGACTAGCGGATTTTGAGCCCTTTGGGATAGGGACCAGTCTCTCACCCAGCCCCGTATCCTGAGGGCCTGCACATAATAAGTGTTCAATTAGTATTTGTTTTCAAAATGAGAAAAAGGGGTAGCTTGTATTGGCTCCACGAATTGCCTTGGAGTGGTTTTCTATTTACTGTCTTTTTACTAAGAAGAGTGCTGGCTTTTGGTGTGGTGATTGGGAAGAGGCCAGAAAAAAAAGAGACCGAAAATAAATTCATTTGTCTGCCTTTTTTTTTTTTTTTTTTTTTTTTTTTTTTTGAAAGAGGACAGCATCCATCTTCAGTGGCCCCTTAATAATTCTTGCCAGGACCGCAGACTTGTTCCCGAAGCCTGCCAGTGACAACAACCTAATGTTGTCATAAGCAGAACAACTTAACAGGCAGACTTGAGGTCTTGGGTGTCTCTGCCAGGGCCACAGCAGGGGGCTATGGATTGGGGAGCAGCAGCCCCCTCTCTTTATTCCCCCTCCTCGCTCTGACAGGCAGCTGCGAACCATCTTGGGCCTGAGGTCTGGCCCCCACCAACAATCTTCTGGGAAAAGAATGTGCTTAAGAATTTAGGGGTAAATGGGCCACTGTCCAGAGCACGAGGCCCCCTTTTAAACGTGATGCTCTGCGTAACCTTCCTCATTCCTGGGACAGAAGGCCCCCTCCTCCCTTGGAGAGGAGCGATAGTTTTCACTGCCTTAAGCTGGGCCAAGCTCGGAGTGTTTTCTGGATGAGCAAGGGAAGCACTCATCCCAAGACAAACAGACGGGATTCATGAGGGTGGTTTGCATTCTGCTGAACTGCTTCACTTTTAATAACTGCTTGACTAACAAGCTAAGGGTTATCTATACAACAGTCCTCCCACACAGTCCATATGCACGTGACGATTGCTTTGACCATCTAGATCAGTGGTTCTCAGCCTTTCTAATGCCGCAACCCTTTAATACAGTTCTGCATGTTGTGGTGACCTGTAACCATAACATTATTTTCGTTGGTACTTCATAACTGTAATTTTGCTACTGTTAATGAATTGTAATGTAAATGTCTGTGTTTTCCCTTGGTCTTAGGCGACCCTGCTAGGGGTTCTCAACCTATGAGTCACTACCCATAGGTTGAGAATCGCTGCTGTAGAGCCCAAGACCTAAAAACACAAGATATTTACACTATGATTCATTAACAGTAGCAAAATCACAGTTATGAAGTAGCAACAAAAATAATGTTATGGTTGGGGGTCACCACAACACGCGGAACTAACTGTATTAAATTGAGGCCTTAGGAAGGTTGAGAGCCACTATCTAGATAGAAACAGATCTATCTACATATATCCATGTAGCAGCCACACCTGGATTCCTTACACACAGTGTTTCCCAAAGTGTGGTGCGTACCCCCAGGGGTACGGGAAGAGTTTGGTGGGGATATGCACTGCACAGTGCTTAGATGAGCCTAATTATATGTTCTCATGAGTACGAGGGGTACTCAGCATTAAGAAAATTACAGAAGGGGTGCACATATGTCAAAAGTTTGGGAAACACTGCTTACAGGAACATTTGCACGGAGTAGGGCTGTAAGCCACACCTACCCTTTTGGAACAAGTTGTGTTTTTAAACATGTACCCTCCTTAACCCAGTTGTAATAATGTGGTTTCTGTTTATAAAACTGGACTTGTACAAGAGCCACGAGAAAGAGAGAAAAAGTTGAACGTATTTTACATGAAACACTAACCTTGTTGTTAAAAGAAAATCTCATTGTGCTCTGGAGTAAACTTATTGAATCTTCCCAAATATGTCCTCCAAAATTAATTTTCACTCGGTTTGGATGAACTCGTTTATTAAATCGGAATTCAGTCCCCATTGGGGACAATTCATTTGAAGAATGACCTGCACCCGCCCACCCACTTTCTAGAACACCCACACACATATGCTAGCAGTGACTGGGTTTTCTATTTCTTTCCCCTCTGAGAGGTTTCCCACTCTTGCCTGCTAAATCAACGATCCATCTCTTTGCAGGATAGCGACAACCTCTGGTGGGACGCGTTTGCCACGGAGTTTTTTGAAGATGATGCCACCTTGACCCTTTCCTTCTGTCTGGAAGACGGACCAAAGCGATACAGTAAGAGCGAAGTTTGTTTTTCTGATATTTCCTCTTTTTGCGCCTCTAAGAAAACTGCAGGGGTCTTCAGAGACTAGCATGGTGCCCACGGCCCGACAGTGATACCTCCACTCCTGATGTTCTCGCTTCTGATCAAGGCCTTGTCCCAGGTGGCAGCCGGGGCTCCGTGGAGGCTTAGCGTGTTTGGACACGTGCTGTTTAGTGAGCCAGGCAAATAGCAACTAAGTCACTCAGTGATAAGTGGGAGCTGAATTGTAGAGACTTCCTGTTGGTCTCCTCCCTGGGACCCCCCTTTTATACTTGACAGCTTACACTTCACTCCCAGGGTGCTGCTTCTGAAGGTTCCTTTAAAAATTGCTCCTAGTTACTTTATCAGCAACATCCTTCTCATTCCCTCCTACCCATGAATGACCTCAGGTGTTTGTTGGCCAAGTGCTACCTTTTCTGGGTGTGGTGGGGGGCACCCCAGTGGCTTTGACCATACAGTTGGGGACTGGTGGTGACAAAATGAGAGTTCCCTCACTTTCCTGCGAGTGATAACTCCGTAAGGACCCTCAAATGACAGCCCACGGCACCTTGGGCAGCAGCTGATCTGTCCTGATTAGGCTCAGCCACCTTGTCAGAGATCAGAGGCTCTGGTGCCACTGTGAGACTGGGAGGCACAGATACATCAGCTCCCAGGCAATTAATGTCCGCTTACATCAGGGGAGATGTATTTCCAGAAACCAGAGCTGCACATAGGGAGGGGTCTGTCAGAGGGTAAGACGCCCTATGTGTCACAAACATGGAGACGATGCTGGAACCAGCCACAGGATATTTGAAGGAGGCAACCCAGAGCATTGGGCAATTTAGAGGTACTCAGGCTCTTGCTAAAAATGACTGAAATATCTGATGGCTGCTAACTGTATTCTAAAGCTATTGGGAACAACAAGTTGGTGGTGGTGTTTTAATTTTGGTTACTTTAGGCAACTCAGTCCTGTTTGGATCTGTTGCATGATGCGGTCATTAATTATGCTAATATATGCGTGGTGATTTGCTATAGTGGGAGACTGGGGTAAGCTTAGCAACTTAGACTTGTCATCCTATGGAAACTCTGTCAGGAGCATCTCTTTGGATCTGTGTACTTTGGGCTTTTAAAGGTGTGGAATATTGCTAATAAATACTTTGGGTGAGGGCATCAGCTAGTATGTCAGACAACGGGCTGTTTCAGTGTCTTTATTCAGCATAACGATCCTGTTGCAGGCACAGGTAAGCCACTTCATGGGGTCCTGATGAGTTAATTTGCTTTTCTGGGTGAGGGTGGCCCCAAGACATGCCTGAGATCGTAAGAGAGTTGGGCTTAGAAGCCGCTGTTTGCGAAATCCCTAGGAGATAGTAAATGAACTCGGCAACCCAACAATTACTCTCTCCCCAAAAGCCTGCTGATCAATGGTGAATAATTTCCAACTGAGCAGTCATCTATCTTGTGAGCCTCTTCCCCTCCTCCTCCTTCTCTTTCTTCTTTTCCCTCCTCTTCTTTTTTTGGGGGAGGGGGACATAAGCTCAGATACTTTCAAGTTATCATTGTTTAATGTTCCTTATCCCTATGCTTTTTTGGTTTGTTTGGAATCCATCAGGGTCTGCTCCGGGAACTAGAATTACAGTTCTAAAGCCTGTACTCATAAAACAGGTCCCCCGTCTTCCCTCTGTCCACCCCTCACCCTGATATCATTTGGGGGTGAGGCATGATCAGTGCCTCTTTACGATCTTGCATCCATGGGCAGGAGGAATGCCTGACTCTGAGCCATTGTTGCCCAGGTTTCTTTGTTTCTCGGAGCCAAAATATTTTCCAAGCAGAGAAGAGAAACAAAGATGACTGACAGCTTGGAGCCAAGTCTCATCAGCTGCTTTGCTGACAGCCTGGTGATGTGCACACGCTGCTGATGTGCGAGCGAGTGACAGCTGATTGACAGCCGGGACTGGAGAAGGAAAGATGAAGCAGACTTAGAACGCCCGCCCCACACACGCTGTTTATGCAGCGCTCCCAGCACCAGCACTGCCACCTTAACCCATTCGTGGTCCAGACACTCCTTGCCAGGCTGGGAAGGCACTGCTGGCCTGGGCTGCAGGCTATAGCTCCTCCATGAGTCCTTCCAGGGAGCCATGAGCTTTGCATTTCTGAGGGAGAATATAATTCTTCACTATTACATTTACGTATACAGTCTTCACTTGTACATGTAAAAAAATCCCCAAATTACTTCCATTCTGGGTACCAAGAAATATTCCAAATGAAATTTTTTTACCCCTTCCTAGGAAAAACTGCTTCTTCTTCCTCCCCGTCTCTCTGTGTGTAGAGGGTCCCTCTGGCTCTAAGATATCCTATCTCTAAGCTGTGTGAACCCCATAATGTGTGTTTGCTTATATATTTGTTCCCTGTCATCCTCTATTAGAATGTTATCTCCGCCTGGGCAGGACTTTTATGTTATTTATTGCTGGATTCTCAGATGAATACAGGAACTCACACGTAATAGGTGCTCAATAAATATTTGCTGAATGAATAATTGAATGAACGAATTGACATTTGGGGGAAAGTTTATGTCAACACACAGATCATTGGCAAAACAATCTAGATCTCTGGACCTTTTTAACGGGAAGAATTGAATCAACAATTGAATTGAACGCTGTGTTGGCATTTTCAAATAAGCTCTAGGATATGGTCTGATCTACTTGAAGCAGGGCAGGGGAGCAATGAAAAAAAATCAGGAAATAAGTGCATTCAGGAGGTGCATTGTGCCTCTGTATTGGTTGTGTTGCACCCCCCTACCCCCTACTTTCCTCATGGGATAAGACTCCTTCCCCAAGTGGGACATGATGGGGAGGGACAGAGATTACTGGAATTGGCTGGTGTGGAGAGCGCCTGATGGACAGGGTTCCTGGATCTGTCTGATATCAGGCTGTGTGTCCCTAAAGCACCTTTCCAGTCCCTGCCTCGTGGGACATCGAGAAGTTGTTCTCTAGCAGTTCCAGGGAGGTAGGTTTCTCCTGGGGGTAGGAGAGGTAAGTGTCTTCCTCTTTGTCAACAGTGTTCAATTCAATTAGTGATAAAAGACTATTAGAGCCGAAAAACATCTTTTCTGAAAATGGAAAGTTGGTCCAGAGGGTCCCAGCTGATGAGTCATTGGACATCCGGTTCACTGACTTCAAAGTCAAAGTCAGAGCATCTTCCCTTTCCTGTCCCCATCCTCCCATAGCTAATGGGAAAGAAATGGATTTGTCAATCCCCACATTTCCAGGAACATAAGCTGCAAATAATGGCCATGTTTGATAGGACAGCAGGCAAGGTGAACAGAGGAGTGGCTTCCCCAGGCCTCTGCAGGCAGACTTGGCACACTTACTTTCCGGCATCCTGTGTGGTTTTCCTTCCCCGTCTTGTATAGAAACAACCACTCTTAGCTTGATTGCTCTCTGTGAACTTCAAGCAACTACTGATGCTCCTCTATTTCCCTTTCAGGCAAATGACAGAATTGTGCCCCTACCCCTTCTCTGTCCTCATGACCATCACAAATACCCTTCTGGTAAAGGTGCTGGTAACCCCTTCAGGACATTGAGGCCATGTCCAGGTCCACATTGGCCATGTTCTTCATTAACAGGAAACGTGTAGTTCCCAGTTCATTCAGGGAATATTTCTTTGCTGGGAGAACTACGTGGAGAAAGTTCTCCTGAGTCCCATGGCCTTAGAGAGGCCACACAGCAAAGTCAAAAGGGTACCAGTGTTTGATGTGAATATTCTTGGGTTTTAATCTGTGCTAGGTTTGGTAAACAGAGCCTCCATTTTCTCATCTGTAAAATGGGCACAATACTATCATCACTGGCTTGTGGCAAAAATTAAATTAGTTAATCCACTAAAAGCAAACCTTGGCTCAGCTGGTGTGGCTCAGTGGTGGAGCACTGACCTATAACCAGGAGGTCACTATTCCATTCTCAATCAGGGTACATGCCCGGGTTGTAGGCTTAATCCTAGTGTGGGGTGTGCAGGAGGCAGCCAATCAATGATTCTCTCTCATCATTGATGTTTCTATCTCTCCCTGTCCCATCCTCTCTGAAATCAATAATAATAATTTTTAAAAAATTAAAGCAAACCTTGGACCATTTAAAATGTAGTGTCATCAGTATTGACTCTTGTTATTGATAACAATGCCCAGTCTCAGCCTCACTCTAGCTTTTGTGCATCATTCAATGGGCTTGCCACTTGGCAGGTGCTTGTCACATGTGTTCAGTGTGTAGAGCTTGCTGCAGAGCCCCGCTGATCAGCTGGGAGCCCATAGGACCACTCTGGCGGGTTTTCCTGCTGAAATGCTCACCAAAGAGAAGACCTCCTCCCAGAAACTAGCTCTGTGCCGGATGGGTAAATGACATGCAGAAGGAGGGAAACAGAAGGGAAGGGTGGGTGAGTATGTGTAGGGCTCTGTACTTTGGTAGGTAAGGACTCCCACACTTAGTTAAACATGTCTCGGTAGGCATTGCTTTGGAAATCCAGGTGAGAAATGATATAACTACTAAAATGCCATCTTGTCTCAGGGGCACTTCCTGCAGGCCTACATTTTAGGAAAGATGTACTGTACAGGCAGGGGCTCTGGATATGATACCTGGGTGCAAATCCAGCTTTGTCTTTTACTACCTGTGTCATTTGGCATAAGTCATGTTCTAAGCATCAGTGGTTTCAGTGGAAAAGTTTGACGTTCTGATTCATGTGAAGTTCTTAGCAGAGTTTCTGGCACCATGAACATGCTCCATAAATAGCTTTTGTTATTGGATTGAATTCCAATGAGCACGTTGTGGTCTTTAGATTGAGACCCAGGGCAATTCAGATATAGTTGTCATTAATCTAACTCTTGTTTGGAATTTCGGGATTGATGGCTGCCAATAATTTTCTGTCAACATAGTTGTTAGTTCACCATGACTTCTGTCTGGAATAAAGATTTCTGACGTGACCTCACACCTTTATAGTCACACCGGCCAAA